TCAAGCGTGGTCTCTCGAAAGGTATGCTATATAATGAAAAAAAGGGTGAAATTTTGTGACAGACCAGCCTTTTTGGTAATTAAGACTAGACAGTACAAGATGGAAGCAGTCTGGGCAAGTATATTCATCTCATTCAACGACTGGCCCTCCCGAGAGTCACAGTCGTAGAATACTAGCAGGGCACGAAGAAGGATCACGGGCCACAGACACCGCAGGGGGACACTCGTGGGCGACATTCTCTCAGATTCGAATGGCCCTGTCCACAAGTCAATACGGCTTTTACATTGGCTATACTCGCACACGCACAAGAGATGAAAGAAAGGACGGGGGAGTAGACGAGTTAGCAACAGACATCACGACTAGTTAGTTTACGGTAGGATTGATCTCAGATTACACCTTGAACGTGAAACTTCAGCGCCGCCAAGAGCTACAACGCCTCACTCACTGAATGACTTACAGTTGATCGACCCTAGGCTTGCCGCCACCATAAAACCGCAGGCGCTAGATAGGGCGCACTACTATGACACACGAGGGGACCCTTGTCAGCACTGGGGGACTGGAATTATAATGGACGAGCGGTGATATAACAAGTATGACTTAATTGCGGGATCTCCTCACCTAGGCGTATCGGTAGCCGGCGCCAGATTTGTCCCCAGCTCTGCTCACGGGGAGTCCAGGGAGGAGGGGGATGCCATGCCACATCCGTACCCCCCTCAATCTACATTAGCCCAACAGTTGGCGAGTCTGTAAATGTTGGCCAGGGATGATTGCAGTCTTCCCAACCTTGCCGGAGAGCCCGACTAGAAGTCAACAGGGCTCTGGCCTCTCTTTGAATTTATCACTGGTCAAGTAGGCTGATAGGCACTCGCCGCTCTTTGTGATCACCACACTCCCATGGCTTGCACGTTGGATTGTCTCTGGCATTTCAGCTTTCTACCTAGCAGTCTTATTCAGTTTGTTTACCATCATCGCGCAAACAAGATAACACATAGTTTGATGAGTGAGTCAGAGAGTAACTATGAGGAGCTAGGAGTAGCTGCAGGTGTAACTCAGCGCAAGGAAAGCAAAAGCGTGGGATTTTACACTTTCATCGGCGCCTGTAAATCAAGCAACGTCCCAAGTCCCTCGTTCCTCTTAAGTTAGCGCGCGATCTTCGATGCAGGAGCCTTTATAGTGTAAACGTTGAGAGTGCTGAGGACTGAAGCAACGGTCTATACCCATGATAAACAATTGCAGCATTTTAACCTTATACGTTAAGGGTAATAGTAGTCTGGGTACGGGGCTCTATCGTGACTGTAGATAGAATGAGATCTGTCCGCTTACATCATAGTGGGATGTTGGTAAGTCTACGAGAGGCTTACCTGTCTCGGTCGATGATCTGCAAATACCCTAGAGAGACACAGGAGAGGTAGCATTCATGAACTACCCATAGCAAACAATACCTATCTGGCTGGGGTTATCAATCAGAATAAGGCTACTTAGTCTTGAGCTCGGGGGGTTGATATTACACTCGTTTCGAGGAAGACATGCTGCATGGCCTGAATGCGGACGATAATCCATCATGGCTCGTATAATGTAGTGGCCACTATTGGGGGTGAAATGAAGTCAATACAAACCTACATATGAAGGAACAGACAGGCAAATTGCAGCCCTCCAAAACTGGCCATGAACTTTCCATCTTGTTGGAGGCTCTCGCCCATCAACCGGGCCGCTTCAGTACATGGTAGATCAATACCTAACCTAGGTTTTGCGGTACGCTAAGGTATACCCATGTTCTGTGGGCAGAGCTGTGGGCTTGATGGGGGAATACTGCCAGGTACAGCCTAAACTGACCCTACTGCATCCTACCTCGCATCAGAAAACTTGCATATACACTATGCCAAAGCCGTCAAGTTCATGGAGACGCCAACCGAGGTGATTACAGCTTGTACACGTCAAGTACCTGTATAAGCACGTTGAGGGCGGGTTGCTGACTTAATTAAAGATGCACGTTAGGTACAAATATGCGTTGCCCCAGGAAGGTAATCATGAGAACAAATTCACAATTAGACAACCCGAATTAAGGGATGCGAGATCCACACCCTTATGATACCCTACTTACTGTAGCATATCTTACTTGGGCATGTACACTAAAGATAATACAGTATCAGGACACAGCCTGACGGCGGCGCCAACTTACTTGCCTACCTTACCTAAGTCTTGTTGCACGACATTGTTGTCGGACTCTCAGATGACGGCCAGAGAATTTACTGATGACTCCACGGCTCATGTCCCTCGTTGCCAATGCGAAAATATCTCGGAGTCCGAACCGTTGACCATGGTTGCTCACCATCATCACTCAGCACGCCGAGGCTACTAGCTCCCAGCTTGTAAGATACTGCAGTTCATACATTTGTCGGAAATAAGCATTAATTGTGGAGGTACTGACGATTATATCTACTTGTATAATGTACTGGTACGGCGTCATTCTTGGCCAGCGGCAGTGTAGATCATAGTACAATATACAGAGTATCGGCATCTTGATCTGCGCCAGGTATCTAAATAATCAGCCCATGCCACTGTAGGGCTTTAGGTTAGTATACAGATCTATACATACTCAACATATACCAGGTGGCTGCGACAGGGCACCCCCATATGCGTTTCCAACAAGAAGAACTAGAACTATTACACAGCCTCCTCGATCACACAAATGGACAGTGGTGTGCATATGTAGCTCAAATGATCGATGACTAGGGACACGCATGAGGATACTGTATACGAAGGGCTCCGGCATAGTTCGAGCTCTAAGTGTCCGTGCTCCCACAGGATGCTTCTGCCCCAGTCCAGCCTTACATACAAGCCCAGTCAAAGTTGGAGAATGTTGTGCGATGAGCTGGGCACAAGGGGCAAACAAACTGGCCCAGCTAGGCAGAGCGCGCCATCAATCTAGAAGAAGTCTATGGCACACGTCACCCTTGGTAATCCTAAGAAGCCGAGTTCTCCAACCACACACTTAGAGTCACCCTTGGTAATCCTAAGAAGCCGAGTTCTCCAACCACACACTTAGAAATGCTAGCACCAACAGAGAGAAGCTACCAGAAGGGCTAATAACAACGAACTCCTACCCCTGCTCACAGTCGAGATATGCATCTAATCACATGAGATACACACTATACACACACCCGAAACAACAAAAGTAATTATTATCTTCCATTCACAACGGCCGCGTCCATTCCAGGGGAGGCATTGCAACTCTCTTAACGACTGCACTAGCTAAAAGTAGATTAGTGGGCTTCGCATAATTTGCTATACTAGAGCAGGCTAGTTTCCATCTCAATCCCAAAGTTCCTCCGATGTCTATAAGTATTATACTCCCTGAACTAGGCAGCAGCGGCTCATAAAGCATCTCAACTGAGATGAAACTTTGAGTTTGGGGCTGATCTGTGTTTAGTCGAGAATCATGAGCAACGTACCGCAGAGATACTGCAGTACTACAAGGGGAAAAAAACTTCAACCCCGGACCAATTGCAGGCTCAGCCATTGTAGCGTAGAAACGCACGATTCCCTACTACAGCAAAGGTTGACAGCCACAATACGACAATGATAGGCACTGTATGATCTACGTCCAAGCCTGTTTTTAGAGTAAAATATATTGATCACAGCAGGGGTTCTCCAAATGGTTAGGAGGAGGTATTGCATTCAGCAGCTGCCACTGAATGACGGAAAAGGCGGAGAGGCAACAAACTGCGCACTTGCCTCAGCGTCCATTTAAAGGGCTTGCGATGAAGAGAAGGGTTATCTGGAAAAGCAAACATCAATTATTGTCTGTTTACGGATGATGATCATAGCCTGCCGGCAAGTTGTTTGTCATTCCGAATCACGCGATGCGTATATGGATTTGAGCTCGCTGGCCTTGAAATTGACGCTTCCTGTTACCAAGCCATGACAGCATCCTACCGGTAGTATTATGCATTTATTGCACTTTTATGCCAGGCCAGAAAGATGCTGACAGGGTATTTGTGCCTCATAGTAATGGAACTAAGGTTTTGAATGCAGGATTCATATTAACCTACATCATAGGAGTAACAACTAATTTGCTTCTGAGCCCCAACTTCTAAGCCAAATTTGTAGACACCTTTACATGGTTCATGAAGCCCCACATGGTATTCGAACGCACAGAGAAAAGGAAGATAAGAAGTTTGTCTGTTTTTGTGTATTGGCCTACATAGTAGGGACCATCTTGTCTGCGGATTCTACCTCGAGACTACCTGAATACTACGGCCTTGTAAACAACACCACACAAGCACAGAACCACCCGGTTCTCGAGCATATTCACTATTTGACTGTTCCCTTTCACAGCACTCACGCACTTTCTTGCTTGTGTTTGACGGTGATGTAGGGTAACGAAGCCTACGACCCCCAGTGGGCCAAAATGCACCGGAGTGCCGAAGAGACATGAGATAGAGGACAAGGAATTCACTTACTCGACTGCTAATATGCCGACCCAAGTCTATATGGATAATATGGAACCCTGTGCTTAGTGTGGATTTGCAGGGATGATACACTGTTACCGTAGCAAGCTGAGTATGATTAAGCGCGTGACAGACGTCCTGTGTTAATAAACGCTTGTTAGATCATGTTCAGGCCACTTACTATCCTTTTTTGCAATATAAGATACGGAAGCCTTCGTACTCCATATGATTAATGTACCTATCTATCCTTGAGCTCCTCCATTTAACATTATGCTTAATATATATATGAATCATTACTTCTTGCTTGATTCCTTTTCTTACTGTTTCTATGGGCGAAAAGGAATTGAATAAGGAATGTAAGGTAAATAAAAGCTATAGAACTATTTTAAATATATAGGTTAAGTTACCTCTTTTCCTACCTACTACATATATACACTAGCGGTGTAGATGTTTATAGACCTATCAGTCGGTAGCTATAGTGCTGTTTCAACGTAACACTTATATATAATAACTATGATTGCGCTTTATACATCGAATCAGCAAAAAGGATGTCCTCAGTGAGGCTCGAACTCACGACCTCTGGATAGCCCGGCCTTAGACCGGATCATATGAATTGATAACCATATGAGACCAACGCGCTAGCCAACTGCGCCATGAAGACTTGCCATAGGTTGAATTGCTTCAACCCAAGCAGGACGGGTCTGGCCGGGGATTGAACCCGGGACCTCTCGCAGAATTGCTTTCGGGTGAACCCTAAGCGAGAATCATACCACTAGACCACCAGACCAACCAATCAGATGAAAGAGCGGCTTCATAAAATAGTCTATGGAAGCGATGTGGTGTACTTCGTAGAGTGCATGGTCTAGTAATATGAGGGAGGTTGGATATAGTTACTGGAGAGGTAGGAGAGGGTGGTGCGTACTTAGGTGGTTCTAGTCGACAGAGAGCCTACCTCGGTGAAATCGTAACAGGTGCGTAGCTGAGAGAAAGGGTTATCGAACCAGGTTTCCCTACCTAGGTAAGGCTACAATTCGAAAAGGGGCAATTAGTATTAGCATAACGAGAGGGAAGCCATAGGACAGGTGATGATGCTCAGGGCTTTTAGATTCACTTCATGATAGCTTTTTTAGCATCTTTATTTATTAAAACTAATAACATTTATAGGAAGACGCACAATATTTAACTGCTAAAGTCTATTTTAATGAAGTAGGGATGTTGACCGTTGTAAATGCCCAAGTCTTTCCACCGTCCGAACTAGACATTTGACCACCAGTCGCCCCGAAATTCCAGCTCCCGGATGGTTTGAATTTCGGATTCGCGGCGCTCAAGACAATTGAGATATCTTCCCAGCCTAAAATCAACAGGTTAGATTTCGTGCGCATGATCCGCGTCAGGAGCAACTTGAAGAGCAAAGATCTTACTGTGTGCTGGGGCGGCGGAACAAGGAGAAGCTACACAATCTACGGAAACGTAAAATATCTTTCCCTTCTGTCCTTTACCTGTACGGAAACTGTCAGTTCTTCGTCTTGAGATAAATCCGTGTTACATAGGTGACATACTTGTAGATACAGTTGATACCAACTGATCGTTTACGTAAACATCCTGATCCCACAGACTTGTTGACGGATTAAGCTTGTCTATGGCTAACGTCAATTTCCAGTTTCTAAAGAGCTGCATGGACGAGGGGCATACAATGCGTCCGAACTTTGGATCCAGGAGCAGCAACCATTGTTGTGCCATTCTGCGCACTGGGGGCGAGGGCATATGCAAAGTTGCACCAGTTCGCGGCAGGATTGGCACAGTAACCTAAGCCAGCTGGGGCGTTCTCTGAGACCCCTTGGATGAAGTCTGAGTCTAGTTGGAGGCCGCTCCACAGGGCGACATTACCTATGACGGGGTTAGGAGTGCTTGGGAGGACAAGTGTAGCCGAAGCCTCGATAATAGTTGCACTGCTTGAGGCACGGAGGTTGATGAAGTCGAGGAAGGCGTGTAAATCTCTGACGGCTACCTTCATGTTGGTGAGATCCTGTTTGCTATTGGCTAGGGAATATGTATGCGATACGTCCGAAGAAAAGCTATGGTGCTTGGGGGTGATCGAAGGAAAGTCTGCTGCGAGTACGAAAGGTAAATGTTCTATAATATAGTAATAATCCGATGTCCAACTTTGAAAATGGAGATCATAAATCCACCAATAATTACGGCGACGTTTTGGCTCACCTTAACGTTACATTTCGTATCATTTTTATTAGGCTATAATAGAGCATGCATCTGTTGATGGCCATGGCATCTTGGCATTGACAGCTCTAGAGACTAGGGGCTTGAAGAATTTCACTGAATCTCAAAATGAAACAATATATCAAAGCACGATACTGTAGTGCGGCGAGACTATAATGTAGTATTAAGTTGCACCAACCTGCTATCGTTTAACATTGTGGCGCTTGAAAAGAGCTGTCTTATATCTAAAATCTCTAGCACCAATGACACCGCAGGGTAATGCTTGCTCGGCTACTGAGTTCCGGCTATTGTTGTATGATCTGGATTGCCCCTCAGCATATTGGTCTGATATATCTGTAGCTAGTCCACTATGCTCCGTTCAGCTTTGCTCCAGCCCTATAGAGTAACCAGAGACAGCTGATGTTACCCGTCCACCAGGTAATGCCTCTGACTTGACTGTACAGATCGTGATCGATGAAGATATAGACAGCTCCGTACAAGATACGTATGCTGACATACAGCAACCCCGCACGGTTGATCAAGTGGGTTTCGACTCCTGCGAAAGTGGCGAATCCCATGGCGACGGCGAACAGGGTATAGTTTTCAACTGAATTTGCATGCGCTGCTTCGTTACGCCTGAGCATGTCCAACTGCTTTTGGGTGATTTTTCCGGAGCGGACCGCCGAGTCGCCGTATTTGGCTAAGTCCTGTCTCGGCGAAGAGTTGTGATCAAGGCCGTACCATTGCTTCAGCGTCCGCGAAGACATGAGGCCGTATGCGAATAAGAATTGCCAACTCAAGAGCGCTGGCCCCCAATTGGAAGCTGGTGATGCAGCGCTTGCGGCTCGGAGGCCGAGTGATGTAGCGAGCGATGACATAGTGACAGTGGTCGGCAAGTCCTGAAGGCAGGTAATGTTGATACTATAGCTTGCAAAGCTAGAGGCAGTAAATCTCAATGCAGTGACGATTGTATGTGCTACATTATATGTATGAGAACTTGGACAATGACTAAAGCACTATGGCATGACAAAAGGCGACTTCATGCTTACGATAGCCTGGAAAATTATCGCTCAGTAACGTTAGTGAAGCCCAACTACCGTACTTAGTTCTCACCAATACTTCCTATTTTAGTGAACCCACCACAGAATGAGCTAATCGCCAGGATGTGTGACCAGGTTCTCGCCAGGTTACCTGACAATTACCACGTGGCGCAAAGAGCTAGTATAGGGGTTGCTATATTTAGTAGGGTGAGAGCTTACTCAGTACTCGATAGTACCTTGCTCAGCAGCAATAAATACGTTCTATAAAGAATATTTTCATTACACACTTATGACTCAATTCTTCTTGATACGGCCACAGACATACACGCCTTGCCATGGTGGAATGTCGCTTCAAGGTTCTCAATCCAGGCACCGTCATAACATAATTGAAAGCATGGCCGGATGCTACATCAAGGAGGGAACATAAGCTTTCATGCGGGGTACTTTCTAGCTGCTTCATAGCTGCCAGAGGTCTGGTTTGACAACAACTGTTCATCTTGAGATCTGCTCTCAGATTGTACTTCAAAATCTGCCTCAGGTCGCTCGATCATACTAAGTAGGTGCTTGGTTGAGTTAGTCTTGACAGCTCGCCTGGCGCCACAAGTGACGGCTTGTATGTGCTAAGGCTAGCTCTGCGAGGGCGAGGAGCCATGGCCAAGAAGGTTACTTTGGTTCAATATTCAGACCGTAGACGTTCCTGATTGGGATTCCCGATGCCCGCAGCGTTTCCCAATAAGTACTAAATTCATCCAATTGAAGAGGCACTTAGCAGGAGGCACTGAGGA